CCAGCATCACTCCACTTCACTGAAGATATGGTTAACGACTTTTTAGTGCTGACTTCGGTACCATTATGGGTTATAATATAACTTGGTTCAGGAACACCATCAGATGAACATGATATGGTAAATGAGCCACCAAGTGAAGCTGGATTACTTGTGAATGTTAATTCTGGTTTCCTCGGTTTAACTGCATTTAAACAAACGAAACATTAATTTCACAGATGAAAGTGGAAACCTATGAGAGCATGGGAGAGTGGTAAAATATCGTTTATATTGGCCTGGCAAATTGTTATTCCACATCAACCCCGCCTCATTGCCCTGCAAGGCTACAATCATACTTACACTCAACTATTATCTTCATTGCTTTTTTATCTTTATATCTTTCATCAGGGTCGCTTTCAGCAACGCATTTATAGGTTCCACTGTGTGTATTATCTACGTTACTGAAATTTAATGATTGTTCTTTCATTCCTGTTCCACCAATCTTCTTGCCATCTTTAAACCAGGTAACATCAGCTGGTGGACTTCCATCTTTACCTTCACACAGACAGCTAAAGTCATCACCTTCATTTAGCGTCGTGGTATCAGGACAACTGAATGTCACATTTGGTTTTGCTGAAATTAATGAAGTTAAATGTCGTACACAGTAAATTTTTGAAAATGTCATTTTACGGTTCTAGTAAACAGCAATAAAGCTATAGGTCGTGACAGGGATTGATGTAGGATCGAAATTTTCGTAGGGGCAATACAGAGAAACAAGTGTCAACCCCTCCCCACCTGAATTACACAATCACAGAATCTGAAATTTGAAAGAAAAACTATACGCGAAAAATTATTTCCATTAACGCTAGGCGGGTCAGCATAGTCAGCATGTCTAAGAATCGCCTATAATTCTTGTGGTTATAATATACATATGAAACTTACATCATTATACGTAATTTCATCCCTACTCAATTATTGCCTTTTGACAACGCTAAAACAAGCGGAACACCCCCTGACCACGAAATCATCCAAAAAAGAAAAAACGCATGCATGCACACAAAGCTCGATGTTTTGCAAACACTTTTATTTACCTGCAATGAAAACGTTAATATAAGAATCACTGCTACTTCCATCATCTAGAACAACCCGAAATTCATATTTTCCATTAAAATCTTTGTCAACGTTCCTCAAAACCAATGTTGCTGGTGGAGTTACACTAACTCCAGGTAAACTTTTGTTGAATAGTGTTACACCAGTCACACTTATAGTGGCAATTGTTTTTCTTGCTGTTTCTCCTCTACGAGTGAAGAGCCAGGTCCGAATAGAAGCTTTACCATCAAATGTCCACTTTATTTCATTATTTAATTTATGAGGAAATAACTTCAAGTCTGTCCCACTTGGTGGACTAATTGCTCCTAAATATAATAAACGTTTTTATAATATTTAAAATCTTTATGAAATTATAAATATGCGTATGACAATGAGATTTATTCAATTTTGCAATCTATGCTTTTTAATTATATTCAGATCAAAAATTCTTATAGAATGTTAGGCGTGTTTCAGACGTCGAACTTTTAATTCATGTGGCGATCTACAAACGTTCCGTTTGCATAATCTCCATGTATGGGGCGAAAAAATTTCAACGGTAAACTCACGTCATCGATTATATGTCAGTTAAACTTAACACTGATTTCTACTTAAGACAAATTAAATCGTGTAAAATGAAAAGGCATCTTTCCCCCCTTGTCCCAGCTGGTAAAAGTTAAGTGGGGCAGCTGGCCCTGTTGGTTCACTATGACCAACCGCTTACCTTCCGATAGTAAAAATATAAAAGCAAACCAAAGAATAACAAGGCAACTAGAACAAGTCATTTTTTGAAGTCAGTGTACCTGTATAAAAAATAAACACACGGTATTCGAAATAATACCCGCGGAACTACAGATTGAAAGTTTAAACCCGAGATATTACCAGAGTAACGGCTAGATTTTATGCGTTGCACATCCCATTGTTCGAGCCTCAGCCAAATGCTATCAAAGCGCTCTTCCTGGTTTGAAAAAACTGAACCATTTAAATAAATAAATTTGGATTTGTCGTTATACTTAAAAAACGTCGTTAGAGCACTGTATAAATGAAATATAATATGCCGAAAAAACCTGGAACATTTTCCCCCGCGGCTCGAGCTCGTACGCCTATCATTCATACAATCGAAATTTTTACCAACAGTTAAAGAATCATAGATCGGTACTATATATAGGTATAAAATTCTTAGAAGCATGATATTCAGAATATCACGTTAATTTTTGCTGACCGTCCAACCTTCGCAAGTTTAAAATCTAGACATATCAGTATAGAAGAATTGACATATACCCTCGCAAAAAATATATTTTAAACATGAAACTAAGTGGATTGTTTCAATTGACGTCCAGAATGCTATCCATTGAAGAAGAAGGGCATAATATTTTTTGAAAACGACCAAACAAATTCATTCACCGGTGTGCGTACTTTGAACGTTTAAAATTGCTAATTTCATTGAATGTCATACCTTGCTGTGTGTGACTTCGGCTGGAAACGCAACAAACTACTTTGAACTATAGAACGATATTGATATGGAGATTTCAATAAACGTCAGCATTTGAAAATATAGAATCAATAAAATATACGAAATCTGCCCTTGTTAGCACTAAAGTCCGCGTTTCATGTCGTAAAATCGTCAGAACTATATATTATGCCAGAGACACAGTGCTGAATGACATGCATGTCAAAGAAAAATGATTAGGAAACTATTCCTGTTGCGACTAGCCTTATATTATAATTCACCTTTATCTATATTACAAGATAAATTCCAATTCTGATCCAATGTTCTACAGAATACTGTATATCAATGCAATGTTGTCTGTATGTCGGGAAGTTCTTCCGCATTCGGATATTTTTGTAATGATATGCAAATATGTATCCACAGGTTATTAGAGGGTTACGCGTGGGCGCGACATTTATTTTGTGAGGAACTTGCGCATCAGGCTAATATCCAAACCTGCCGATTTCCCGCTGTTCGTCTGCCTGCAGCCTTAGGGGAGAATCGTAAATCTGGGGCCGTTTGTTCGAAAGGCAGATAGCGCTATCCACCGTATAGTGGGTTTTTCAATCGCTCTAAAATTGCTCGTTGTTTGGCATAAACTGGATTAAATCTTAAAATTCTAAATTTGAGGGAATTTAAATCCAACTATAATATTTATAATGCCTTTACATATAATATACACACTTACATTGAACTATTATTTTGACTGTTTTTTATCTTCATATCTTTCATCAGGGTGCCTTTCAGCAACACACCTGTACGTTCCACTGTGTTCTTTCTTTCCTCTTCCACCAATCTTCTTGTCATCTTTAAACCAGGTAAGACCAGCTGGTGGATTTCCATCTTTACCTTCACACAGACAGCTGAAGTCATCACCCTCTTTTAGCGTTGTGGTATCAGAACAATTTAATTTCACTGTTGGCTTTCTGAAATTTGAAATTTTATGAATCATACACACACTGTAAGTGTTTGAAAGTTGCTTTTTGCTTAGCTATAATAGTAGAAAGCGATGAAGACACGTACTATACAGCAATTGCATGGATAAATTTAAATCAAGAGTGTCTGACCTTAAAGAGCTTAATAATCTCGACTGCGAGCTTATAGATATGATGTGTTAATTTAGGGCAAAACTAACATCAACGATGGTTTTACGATTATAAAACCTCACCCGCAATAACGTTAATATAAGAATCACTGTTACTTCCATCATAAGAGTAAGCTAAAATTCATATTTTCTATTAAAATCTTTACCAACATTCTTTAAAACCAGACTTTCAAGAGGTGCTTAATTAATCGATATACAGTATGTATTAAATTACCGATTGAAAAATGTATTTTGTACCAAGTTCTGCGTAATTTTAAACAAATAAACAAACCAGCACGTATAGAATCTTAGAAATATTGCAGAAATATTTTTTATGTTATTTCCGACTCAATAAAGCAAATCAGACTCATGACCTCATGATTTCAGATCAGCTGGAACCTGGTTAAATCATGTATCGAATAAAAATATAGTTAAGAATAAATCTGTTCCGTGGACATAGATAAGGTAGTAAAAACTGTGTCAAGTTAAAGATTGATAGTTGTTCTCCACTTCTTTGGTTTTGCTCAACTGCGTGTAAGTTGAGTTATCGTCGTGTACATCTTCATTTCGTGGAATTCCGTGGTATTCTCTTTTAACGATTGATAATTATCTTCTGTGTTCATTTTTGTGAGATCTAGTTCCTGGTAAGTTGTGTTACCTTGAGATGTTGAATGTTCAGGGATTGAACGCTGGGTTTTCTTGCTTTTGAATTTACGACGAGAACATGAGACGATGTAGGAAAGGAGACATCCAATGACGATGCCCAATATCAGTGAAACAACGATATGCCATACTACAACATTGTCACCTACATCACAGTCTACTTTCGTAGAAGATGTTGTTTCCCCTAAAAACACATTTAGAATATTTGATTTAAATTTATTGGTTTAAAAAATTACATTAAATAGTTATTTTCAACATGCATTGTCACCATTCATGCAGACAAATTAAAAGGATGTCAATGACAATGAAGTTTTTTTATTTTGCAATTCTGATAGAACTTTTCCGACAAAAAAAAGTTAAATCAGGTAATTTATGCGTGGATTTGGCGACGTAACCATGCAGACTGAACCATGCAGACTGAACCATGCAGACTGAACCATGCAGACTGAACCATGCAGACTGAACCATGCAGACTGAACCATGCAGACTGTCCACAAGCAACGTAAGAAGAAATCGCGCCATAATAATTCTGAAATGACTTAGGTATAGGTATGTTATGGGATGCAACTGAATCACATAAGATGTTGTACTGCATAAGAATCGATGAACACGATCAATTTATTCATGGTATGACATTTCTTAAAGACAAAGAACCAGGATTGTATCAGCATTTTTAGCCTATAATACAGCATCAAACTAAACTCATTTTACCTGAAACGATAAAAAAATAGCACTTTGAATTACTTCCAAGTATATTCTTTGCAATACATTGGTATAAACCACTATCACTCCACTTTACTTGTGGTATGTTGTACGTCTTTTCAGCAATAACCTCGGTGTTATTGTGGGTTATGAAAACTTGGTTCAGGAAGACCTTCTGATTCACATGTGATGTTATTGCTTTACCAACTTTGGCTTTTTTTGCCATAAAAGTAATTGTTGTCACGTGGGGTCGAACTAAAAAACCAAAAAATTCACCTAGCTGTGTTTCTTCTTTCCTATTTACCTCATCTAAGTCCAACTAAATATACTTGTGATGCCTTTGCATATTATACATACTTACAATGAACTATTATTTTGACTGTTTTTTTATCTTCATATCTTTCATCAGGGTGGCTTTCAGCAAGACACTTGTACGTTCCTCTGTCTGTATTATCAACATTTTTGAGAGTCAACATTTGTTCTTTCTTTCCTGTTCCACCAATCTTCGTGTCATCTTTAAACCAGGTAACGTTAGCTGGTGGATTTCCATCTTTACCTTCACACAGACAGCTGAAGTCATCACCTTCATTTAGCGTCGTGGTATTAGAACAATTTAATTTCACTGTTGGCTTCTCTAAAATTTGTTTATGAACCATATATACACTGTCAGTGTTTGAAGAAGTTACTTTTTAATTAGCTATATAGTGGAAAGCGACGAAGCGATCAATTTGAATCCGAGTGTCCGACCTCAAAGAGCTTAACTGATAATCTCGACTGCGAGAAACTGTTATATGGATATCATGTGTTCTTTTAAGGCAAAAATGACATCACCGGCGAAAGTTTTACGATTTTAAGAAAACCTGAAGTTCATTTTATAAAACCTTACCCGCAATAAAAACGCTGACATAAGACACAATGACACTTCCATCATCCAGAGTAAGCCGAAATTCGTATTTTCCATTGAAATCTTTATCAACTTTCTTCAAAACCAGTGTTGCTGGTGAAATTACACTAACTCCAGGTAGACTTTTGTTGAATATTGTAATGTCACCAGCCACACTTATAGTGGCAATTGTTTTTCTTGCTGTGTCGCCTCTACGAGTGAATAACCAAACACGCTGATAAGCTTTACCATCAAATGTCCACTTTATTTCATTATTTAATTTATGAGGTAATAACATCAAGTCTGTCCCACTTGGTGGACGAATCGCTCCTAAATAATCAAAATGTCATTCTATTATTCTATGCTAGAAAATATCTTTAAAAAAATTATGCTCATGCATGTTTAATTTACAGTATTTTGAGCTGCTCCCGAAATGAAATTGTATCGCAATCTAAATTAAGAATAACAGCTTTTAAACGTTTATTCGAATATTTTCAGGATATTAAGTATAAAAGGTGAAAAGATTAATCTCATCAGTCATCACAACAAGCATGTTAAAAATATAGCAGAATATCAGTCCCCATTGATGTTAAGACTGCTTTGCTGTTCTACATTTATAAGTGACATGTGGTTTTTAACATCTCTAAATAAGCTACGACGAAGACTTTGCGCCATATACATTTTTGCCACACGTCACATCGAGGCCAACTGCTTACCTTCCGATGAAAGAAACGTAAAAGCAAAACAAAATAATGCGAGAAAACCAAGAACGACCATAGTTTGGAAGTCAGTGAAACCTGCATTAAAAAGTTACGATTAAATCTTTCAGACCGTACATGAATATAGAATATGATGCAAGTAAGTAGCGAAATATTTGGCAGCATCTTGTTGTTGTTTGTAATATTATACGTGCAATATAGCTAGTCTTGAGTTTGATTGTTCTTATCAGGCGGAAATATATCGATGAATCAGTAAAACTAGTAGTTGAAACCAACCAGTCTTGTTACATACTTGTTACACTGAGGTTAAATCAACCAGTGAAAACTCGTTAAATTCCTGTGATATAGATCCACTAAACGCTGTTTCGTGGTTTTCGTATTTTGCCATGCAGTGTGGTGTGACGTTCTTCCGCCTTCTCAGACTCATTTGGTATTGTCGCTTGGTATAATATGTAAATATATGAAAACGAAACTTCCATCAAGGATTTCCATTTAATTCAGTGCGAATGCAATGCAGTCGAGCATGTAATGTTAGTTTGAAACAATTTCGACAATTTTCAAGAGGTGCTCAATGGATATTCAGTATGTATTAAATTACGGATTTAAAAATGTATTTTTACCCAGTTCGGTCAGTGTAATGTTAAACTAACAAACAAACCAGCACGTATAGAATCTTTGAAATATTGCAGAATTCTTTTTATGTTATTTCCGATTCAATAAAGTAAATCAGTCTCATGACCTCATGATTTCAGATCAGCTGGAACCTGGTTAAAAGATATATCGAATAAAAGTATTGTTATGAATAAATCTGTTCCGTGGCCATAAATAAGGTAGTAAAAACTGTGTCAAGTTAAAGATTGTAGTTGTTCTCCACTTCTTTGGTTTTGCTCAACTGCGTGTAAGTTGAGTTATCGTCGTGTACATCTTCATTTCGTGGAATTTCCGTGGTATTCTCTTTTAACGATTGATAATTATCTTCTGTGTTAATTTTTGTTAGATCTAGTTCCTGGTAAGTTGTGTTACCTTGAGATGTTGAATGTTCAGGGATTGAACGCTGTTTTTTTTTGCTTTTGAATTTACGATGCGACCATGAGACGATGTAGGAAAGGAGACATCCAATGACGATGCCCAATATCAATGAAACAACGATATGCCATACTACAACATTGTCACCTACATCACAGTCTACTTTCGTAGAAGATGTTGTCTCCCCTAAAAACACATTTAGAATATTTGCCTTAAATGGGATTCGTTTAAAACATTATTTTCAACATGTATTGTCAGCATTGATGCAAACAAATTAAAAGAATGTCAATGCATGGCAATGAAGTTTTTTTCTTTTTGTAATACGATAGTAAACTTTCCCAACGTTTTCCCGACCCATAATGAACCATGCAGACTGAACCATGCAGACTGTCCACAAGCAACGTAAGAAGAAATCGCGCCATAATAATTCTGAAATAACGTATTCGCCAACAACGACGAAACCTTGAATTACTACGAATAAATTATGGTATAGGTATTATGGGTTGCAAATCGCATATAATGTTATATTGCATAAGACTCGATGAACACGATCAACTTATTCATGGCATGACATTTTCTTAAAGACAAAGAACCAGGATTGTATCAACATTTTGAACCTATAATACAGCATCAGACTAAACCAACCTTACCTGAAACGGTCAGAAAATAACACTTTGAATTGCTTCCAAGTATATTCCTTGCGATACATTGATATAATCCACCATCACTCCAATTCACTTGTGGTATGTTGTACGTCTTTTCAACAATAATCTCGGTGTTATTGTGGGTTATGATAAAACTTGGTTCAGGAAGACCTTCTGATTCACATGTGATGTTCATTGCTTTACCAACTTCGGCTCTTTTTGGCATAAAAGTAATTGTTGTCACGTGGGGTCGAACTGAAGAACAAAAATTGTCTAAACAAATAACTTTCCGAATTGATGAGACTAGAGGCCAATGACGAAATTACAACTAATATCTGCCTGTTAGCCCCCCCCCCCCTCATCCCAATAGTCTGCCAAATTTACTACTCGGTCCTATTACCTTCCCACGTTGAAGTCTCAAATGCCTGTGCACAACATACACATGCACTTACAATGAATTGTTATTTCAATAGTTTTTTCATCTTTATATCTTTCATCAGGGTCGCTTTCAGCAACACATTTATAGTTTCCACTGTCTGTATTATCAATGTTAGTGAATGTCAACAGTCGTTCATTCTTTCCAGTTCCACTAATCTTCTTGTCATCTTTAAACCAGGTAACATCAGCTGGTGGATTTCCATCTTTACCTTCACACAGACAGCTGAAGTCATCACCTTCATTTAGCGTCGTGGTATCTGGACAACCGAGTGTCACATTTGGTTTTGCTGAAGTAATTATAAGACATACATGTTATTTATATGTCTAAAAGGATTATTTTGCTGTTATCAGTGAAGAGTGATACTAAATATGAAATATCCATGCAGTGACTGCAGTAATTGCATCGATTTAGATCATATAAGAGATTACCTCAAAAAAACCTTGTCTTTTTATAAGACCTTACCCACAATAAAAACGTTAATATAGGAATCACTGTTACTTCCATCATCCAGAGTAAGACGAAATTCATATTTTCCATTAAAATCTTTATCAACATTTTTCAAAACCAGTGTTGCTGGTGGAGTTACACTAACTCCAGGTAGACTTTTGTTGAATACTGTTATGTCACCAGTCACACCTATAGTGGCAATTGTTTTTCTTGCTGTGTCTCCTCTACGAGTGAAGAACCAAGTCCGAAGAGAAGTTCGCGAATCCAATAACTGACATTCCTGACATACACAAATTAAATGCCACATACACAAAAAAGAAATTAGAGAGTACATTAGTAATCAATTTAGCATTTTTAAAATATTCTTAGAATAGTGATTGGCGATACAGGATTGATTCTTTATAATATTAAGATGTAATTTTGCGTGTTGTGTCCATATGTGCAATTTTATCATATTTACCTTTTTCTGTTAAATATTTGGAAACTGAATCACTTCCCAGATTATTCTTTACAAAACATTCATAAGTTCCAGCATCTCTCCACTTTACTGGAGATATGGTAAACGACTTTTTAGTGCTGACCTTGGTACCATTATGGGTAATTTTATAACTTGGTTCAGGAACACCATCAGATGAACATGATATGGTAACTGAGCCACCAAGTGGAGCTGGATTACTTGTGAATGTTAATTCTGGTTTCCTCGGTTCGACTGCCCGTGAACAAATATAATTTTTTATTTTTTGCGAATAAAGTAAATAAACAGGGCAATAAATGAAATTGAAATCTGAAGAGGTCCAATTTTAGAGGGCGGGTGGAGTAAAATGCTCCCTTAACTCCCCTTGGCCCTGCTCACGACGCCACTGTGTCTTATGGAACTATTTTTAGGTTATACGAGGAACGTATGGTGAACTTCAGTTTTTAAATCATGTTAGGATCTTAATGGAGTAGCTACTGATATATTTATACAGCGACTTTTTTAAACTATTAATAGGCCTATGATAAATTATTCAAATGATATATCTGCCGTATCAAGTCTTAAGGTACGATTTCCTTTGATTATAACATGCAGAGTATTGTTTTATTGTCATACTTACATTGAACTGTTATTTTGATTGATTTTTCATCTTTATATATTTCATCAGAGTCGCTTTCAGCGACATATTTATAGGTTCCACTGTGTGTATTATCAACGTTACTGAGAGTCAACAATTGTTCTCTCTTTCCTGTTCAACCAATCTTCTTGTCATCTTTAAACCAGGTAACATCAGCTGGTGGATTTCCATCTTTACCTTCACACAGACGGCTGAAGTCATCACCTTCATTTAGCGTCGTGGTATCAGAACAACTGAATGTCACATTTGGTTTTGCTGAAGTAATTATAAGACATACATGTTATTTATATGTCTAAAAGGATTATTTTGCTGTTATAGTGAAGAGTGATAAATATGAAATATTCATGCAGTGACTGCAGTAATTGCATCGATTTAAATCATATGAGAGCTAATTTCAGTAAAACCTTATCTTTTCATAAAACCTTACCCGCAATAAAAACGTTAATCTAAGAAAGACTGTTACTTCCATCATCATGAGTAATCTGAAATTCATATTTTCCGTTGTAATCTTGATCAACATTCTCTAAAACCAGTGTTGCTGGTGGAGTTACACTGACTTCAGGTAAACTTTTGTTAATAGTGTTATGTCACCAGTAACACCCAAACTAGCAATTGTTTTTCTTGTTGTGCCTCCTCTACCAGGGAAGAACCAGGTCCGAATAGAAGCTTTACCATCAAATGTCCACTTTATTTCATTATTTAATATATGAGGAAATAACTTCAAGTCTGTCCCACTTGGTGGACGAATCGCTCCTAAATAATCAATGGTTTTTGTTTTCATTTTTAGTTTGAAAATCAAATAAAAATAAATTATGCTCTGTCCAAAGACATGTTTACGGTATTTTGAGCTGTCCACAAAATTGGGGTCAATTTCCTGATTCGAATAACATAATACTTCGTTGCGAGGCGTGTTTATTACTCCGGCGTCAGCGATGGAGTTGAAAATTCGCCTCGTTTTGTTTTGTTTTTGTTTTTGTTTTTTTTTGGTTTTTATTTTTTTTTATTTTTCGTCGTCGCAAGTGTGTTTTGGCGCGAAATTAAATATACTAGAATTTGAATTGTGTTTGTGACCGTATTTATCTACGTCCCAGTCTTATCTTCTAAGAGTTGTGGTGCACAGCAGTTTGGCTAATTTTCCGATGCGCGATTCGATTTTGCTCGCATGATACGGCAATTCCTCCAAGAGGAACAAATAAACGGTTCTTTTGATGCTGTTCGATTAAGTTTAGATTTAATTGGGGTAAGAATAATATATTTAATACATGTAGCTGATTCTGGTCCTATTTTAATAATATCGCTGCTATTTCAACAAGATGATGTGGTCGTGTATGGGCGCGTTGCACGTCGCGTAGTTTGCACAGGATTGAAGATTTATTATAACTATATAAGCGCGAATTCCAAAGGCAAAGTGTAAGACAAAGTGAACGTATCATGCGGTTTATTTACATTTTTGAACAGTTGAACTTCTATGCTTTTTAAAGTACGATGTGCTTTTGAATGTTGCGATCGAATAACATTTAGGTTGGCAAGGCATGTATGGTATGAACTGTATGAACTGTATTGATTTGTTTATGTTCAGAAGCTTTATATTGAAGACTGGCAAGTGTGCGGCACGCCGGAGTTAACGCCAGAACAGGCGTCTTGTTTTTTTCTTAGTTGCTCTAGAATTCCTTAGTGTGAATTTAGTCGCGCATTTTTGCATAAAGAAACGAGAATACTTTTACCGCTGAGCGATCCTTCTATATAATAAAGTCCAATTATTCTATACCAGCAAGGTGATTAATCTATTCTAGCGATGTAATTGGGTTTTTTTTCTGAATGAGATTTCCACCAAATGCCGGGTTAACCGTTATTGATGCCTGCTGCACTAAAAATTCTCAAAAACTAAAAAACTGTATGATGATAAGTTTTCCAAATACATTGTTGAAAGCCCGGTTTACACTACACTTAATTTAAAGCCCAACACAAATATTATTGGTATCCGAGTCTAACTCAAGTTTTATCCGTGCTTATATAGTTACTTTGGGAGAAAAAATCACTCAAAAAAAGCCCATCTGGCAGACTCACCTTCAGGACCCAGCCCCCAGGGTTACCCCAAATTAATTGATGGCGTATATGATCTAAGTTTACATACCCGGTTAAAAACCGCTCTCAATCAATGGCTATAAGAGATAAGGCCTATATATGTAAATATACATGCACTCCCCAATTGAGCATCTATGGACGTCCTTAAATTCCACGCATGCTCAGCCTCGTACCAAGGCGCTTTAATAGTAAAATATATAACGTTGCATTAGGTTATTGTATAGAGGTAAGTTTGTAAGTTAAAAAAGGCGAGTGCGCAGGGGTGCTTGGGGTGGTTTTGACAAAGTTAGCTGGTTCAACTTAGAGATTGATAGTTGTTTTCGACATCTCTTGTTTTGTTCAACTTTGCATAATTTGACTCATCGTTATTTACACCGTCATTTCGTGCAACATTCCCTTTCAATGATTGATAATTATCTTCCTTGTTCATTTTTTTAAGATCCAGTTCTTGATAAGTTGAATCAACTTGAGATGTTGAAGGTTCAGGGTTTGATAGTCGAGGTTTTCTATTTTGAAATTTTCGGCGGGAACATGAAACAATTTTTGGCAGGAGAATCCCGATGATAATTCCAGACATCAAAGTCACAACAATAATGTACCATTCAGTTTTACAACTTGTATAATTTGAACCTGTAAATAAATATACAACACATCTTTCGTTGATACCTGGCAAATCGTGCGAAGCATTGAGTGAAACAGCAACAATTAAACCATAGAGAAATTTTAACATTTAATTAACGTTGGTAGATGATAGTAAAATCCGGCGTGGAAAAACTGCTTTCAATGTTTTAATTTTTTGAAATATAAATGCGAATCTGCTGTAGTATCATGCCTTACTTTTTTCCTCATGATCCATAGACCTGCTTGTTGATGACTTGTTTGTTTTAGATGTTGTCATTGACTTTGTCGTTCTTGGCCAACTCGGTTCATCTTTACCCACTAAAGAGAAATACATATGTATATATTTGTTCAAAAGCCGGTTAGCTTAACCCTGTTTTAAAGCAAATCTTTCCTTCGATACACGTCTCTGATTGGCCAATTCTGTCCTTAACTACAGTTAAATGTTAACTTTTATACAACTGGGCCTGGTATTTTGTTTCAACGTCAAATTAAAATCACCCACTTACTATTGTCTTTAAAAATTTTGGTTAAAATTTTGATCTTGCACGAATTTCAAAATATAAACATATTTCACGTTCGAACAGAATTTTCCTATACGTTTCTATTGAATTTGACGTGCATGTCCCTGCCTCGGTGTTGTTATTTTACAAAACAATTACTTAATGGTTCCAGTGTTTGAATAGCCTGATTCAAACACCAAAATTCCTCGCCATGGTCTCGTGTTTCGCGTCACTTATCAAGTTTCTTGTTTTTCCGCACGATATTTAAAAAAAATATCGACTTGAAATATATATATATATATATATATATATATATATATATATATATATATATATATATATATAAAAGTTGCGTTGTGCCAAATACAAGTGTAGATATAGAAAAAGGTTGCTTGTCAACTAGAGAGATATTATTCCAAATGAAGTAACCGATGAAACATTACTAGTGTCATTTGACGTCGTTAATCTTTACACAAATATCCCACATGAACTAGGTCTAGAAGCTATGGAATACTGGCTAGATAATTACACGGCACATCTTGCCCGCCCATTTTCGAAAGGATTTATTCAAAATGCCGTATCCATCGTGCTAAAAGAAAATACGTTCAAATTCGATGACCAACATTATCGACAGATTCAAGGAACCGCCATGGGCACAAAAATGGCCCCAACATATGCAACATTGGTGATGGGTTTCCTAGAAAGAAAACTATATGAACGATTCGAGATCCGTTATGGCACGGAACAACGAGAACAATTCATCGCCATATTTAAAAGATACTTGGACGACTGCTTCCTATTTTGGGACAAAACACGGGAGGAACTTGATGAACTACACACACTTTTGAACGACCTTCATCCGAAACTCAGATTTACAATGGAAGTACATGAGTCACAACTCCTTTTCTAGATATCTTACTATGTAAAGACGGAAGAACAATCTACACAGACATCTACTACAAGGGAACAGACTCCCACCAGTACCTCGACTTCAACTCCTGCCATCCCAAACACTGTAAGACCAACATCCCCTACACATTAGCTAGACGAATTTGCACGATTATCCAACCATGAAATTCGTGAACAACGCTTGGAAGAACTTAGAATATTTCTCGTACGTCGAAACTATCCAACAACCTTAATTAACTCAAGCTTCGAAAAAGCGAAAGGCCAAAGTATCGAGGAATTAAGAACACCAAAGGCGAAGGAACCCGAAGGCAGAATATTACCTCTAGTGTTAACACACAATCCAAATAACCCTAGCATTATTGGGAAAGTAAGGGAAACAGTGAAAGTTTTAAATTTGTCAGACGAATTAAGGAGTACAATGGAGAAAACAAATCTTATTGTAACCAGACGACAACCGAAAAACTTAAAAGGAATTTTAACGAAAGCGGAATTTTCAACGTCCAACGCCACGCCAACTGTGACAAAGTGCAATGAACCTCGTTGCGGCACATGCCCTCATATAATCACCGGGGACAAAATTGAACTGAAGAATGGAAAAACGTGGACGGAAAAATATGACATGAACTGTAAATTTAGGAGTTATTTACATCATAATATGCCCAAATTGCAACAGTTTCTACGTGGGAACGACTGAAAACCTCAGAAACAGAGTAACTTTGCATAAGCATGCAGCATATTAGACACAAAGAATATCGACATTTAACCGTCAGTGAATACCTATCTAAATGTAGCAAAGGCAACTTTAACATTATGCCAATCTATAAGTGTATCAACGCTAATAGACTAATAAGAGAGACCAAAGAGAAACAAATAATTAGAACACTAGAACCTAATCTTAATGCATGCTAATTTTATCTTTGTAAATAACACAACTTTAACATAGTCACACTAAATAGGATGTATCATATTACACTATATGTAAGTAAACAAAATAACCACTGTCATCATTTATCACCTGAAGAGCTAAGAGAGCGAAAACGTTTGTGAATAAAGTGATATTAAAAAATACAAAGCAGTGGTTATGTTCGAATAATATCTCTCTAGTTGACAAGCAACCTTTTTCTATATATATATATATATATATATATATATATATATATATATATATATAATATATATATATATATATATATATATATATATATATGTACCTGTTACTTTCAAGTCTTTAGAAACTGAATCATTTCCTAGATTATTCTTTACAAAACATTCGTATCTTCCAGCATCAATCCACTTTACTGGAGATATGGTTAACGACTTTTCATTGCTGACCTTGGTACCATTATGGGTTATATCATAACTTGGTTCAGGAACACCATCAGATGAACATGATATGGTAAATGAGCCACCAAGTGGAGCTGGATTACTTGTGAATATTAATTCTGGTTTCCTTGGTTTAACTGCATTCAAACAAACGAAACTTTAATTTCACAGATGAAAGTGGAAACACGAGTGTCACTACCAGCTCAGGGGGCAATTCCATCTGAATACTGATGGCGAACAATTAATAACCAAACCAATATAATGCAATAATTTTCTTTAAAACCCAACAAGATAAAGGAGTGCCTCGGGCACCGCTACGCGTCCGTATCTAGCATATACTATA